GAACAACTCATTTCAACCGTGGAATGCAACGTTCAATAACAGGAACTGATTAGGATTTTGAAAGAAGTGGCGGATTCCGCAGTTAAACCGAAGTGAAAGCTAAGGCCTAAGGCTACGTTAGAATTGACATTGGCGCCACCGCGCCAGAGCCGTTCCAGCGCTGCTCTGGCACTGTCAGAGTTGTGCCGGCAAGGTTAGCGAACTAATTAATTAGCTTGAAGTGATAAAATGCTAATTCATCTTCTTCTGGAACCATTTTCATGCAATATTCTAAAATTTACCTCCTTCACAAATGATGTCAAACCTTTACAAAACCAAAAGTATAGTTTTTTTTGTCACAGCTGTCGAAGCGTCGCTTAACCATAGGAGTATTTGGTGTTTCGTCTAATACTTCCTTATTATCAAGGCTATAGTTACAAAATGTAAACGACTGGTGAATGATCTGAATGAGAATATTTTTCAAAAATCTTCAGATATGCGTGGAAATGAATCCAGGATCTGCGCAGGTGACACTGCTATCAGATGGGCCACCAAAAATGTTCACGTTCGATGGAGCGTACTACATGGACGCCACTGGAGAACAAATCTACAACGACATCGTCTACCCTTTGGTTGAGGTAACATAGTTGCACCTAGGTTGCGTTCCGTTGAGTTGTCCGTGCCAGCGGGCGTCGTGCTAGCCGTGAGGGGCAGTACAAGAGCCCCGCATGAGTTCTGAAGCTGCGCTAGCACGACGCTGACACGACTCTGGCACGGGCCTGTGGACGCTGTTACAGTCATTGTACTACGCATACTTGCAGAACGTCATCGAAGGTTACAATGGGACAGTTTTTGCTTATGGGCAAACAGGTTCCGGGAAAACTTTCTCAATGCAAGGTAGCTTTTATATTATTGGTTGTGAATAACAAAAGCAAACTTGCTATCCAGTTGAGGACTAGGTGTTGTAGGAGCGCCAAGCATCCCGGCTCAACGGGGTATAATCCCAAGAGCATTTGAGCATATTTTTCTTGCCACTGCCACTACTGAGCACAAAAAGTTCCTCATCCATTGCAGTTATCTGGAGGTTTGCCAAAAAGTTTGTGTTGGC